TATATATATATATATATATATATATATTCTAAATTTTGTTCAACAAATCACGTGAATAAAAGGTATATATACTTATACATCCATATATAGATACATATCTAAATTGATTCATAATAAATGTCACATTTCTTTAGTACAAATTTTATTCACTCTCCAAATGTGTGAGTGTGTGTGTGTATATATAACAATTTCAATAATATGATAAGAATTGAAGAAAGAAAAAAATCTTTAAAAAAAGAACTCATATCTAGTATATATATATATATATATTACAAACAATCCATAAACATGTAACGATGAGTGGTATATAAACTGTTTTATTTATTTATTTATTTAATTATTGGGTAAAATAAGTATATAAACTGTTTTATTACATGGCCGTATTTGCATGAATGAAACTGAATATTTGCTGGATGGAGTTTGCTATGTCTTCTGCGGTAAACCTCTTCTCGCTTGTCATCTGAACATTTTTTTAACCCACCATATATATATTAATTATATATATGTATATTACTCACTGTATATATTATAAAATGATCCAAAAAGGAATAAAAAATAGACGGCGTATAAATACATTATATTCATCTATCTAATATTTAAAAACGCTCACAAAAACACTATATATATGTGTGTGTGTGTGTGTGTATCTGTCTTGTGGAGGCAACCGAGATTTAATTTATCTGTTTTTTTTCATAATATATCGCAATATAGAAACAGTATGTTTGTATAAGACACACAAGCAATTATAAACATGTATATATATATATATACACACAGATCTCTAACTATACGGAAACTCACAAATTAATACATTATATACACATATGTAATATTAAAAAATGCTCACAAAAATATAATATATATATATATGCTTGTGTGTGTGTATCTTTTTCATAATATATTGTAGTATAGAAAGTAGAAACAGTATGTTCGCGCACGCACACACAAGCTCACAAGTATAAACATATATATACACATATCTCTACGTATATATGCAAATTCACGAATACATACATGAATGTTGTTACTTCATATATACCCTAATTATGTGCGTGTGTGCATATATATATATATATATATTGATAAAATAAAATAAAATAAAAACTTGCCTTGACGCTGAAGGAATAGAGAACGGTCTGTTCAATGGTGGTGATATTAGCGTGAAGAACGCAGAGACGGAGATCCTCCAAAGCAGAGATGGTCTTTACCAGTTGGCCAGGCCTGCTTCTGGACAGTATCTTTATCATCGCGTCAAACCCTAGAATCTTCACCTCCACGTCAGCAAAACACGACTTCTTCTCCGCCGTCTCCTCTTCAGATTCGTTCGCCGGAAAATTCAGAGGGGAGGGAGAAGGAGAAGAAGAAGAAGCCGTTTCCGATAGTCTCCTCCGTTTCTGCGACTCGAGGCATTGAAGGAGTTGCTCTAGCTCTCTCACGAACTCTATGGCTCCTCCTATTATCGACGCTTGATCTCCCTGTATATATATACACGCACGTATAAACATATACTTACACATATATGGTTTGATATGTATATATCGATGTGATTGTGGGCGTACCCTTTGGACGTAGGATCCGGGCATGAGAGATCTGAGGACACGAAGATGTTCGTTCATCTGCTTCCTTCGGTTTCTCTCGACTGCGATGTGAGTCATTCTCTGGCTTTCCACTTCTTCGCTGGTCTTGATCGTCCTTCTCCTCTTCCTCTTGCCCTTCGCCTCGTTTTCCGACATGTTCTTGTTTTCTGAGTTGTTGTTTCTGTCTAGAACCCTAGCTTCTTGACCCTCCTTTCCTTCTCGAAACACCATGGGAGGTTGGATTTGGTGATGATCCTGGATGTTGTCGTTCAGGACTGGGAATTTGAGGAAATAAACCGGGTCGATCCCGGTTTCTTGATCCTGATCTCGGATCTTGGTGTGGTTTAATGTCGGTTTCGGACCGAAATCCGAAAACTGCATCACTGCATCTGGGAAGCTTAGTTTATCGAAAGAAGGAGAAGCTTCATCAAATCCAGGAGACATCTCATGTTCTGGTTGTTGCTGAAGTGAATTACTGAGCATATAATCTATCATGCCGACATTGTCGTCGTCGTGGCCGCCATCGGAGGATTCACCTAAATGGTTCAGAGCCTGAAAGAAATCGGGTTTCAAGTAAGACAACATTTATAAAATGACAAGAGTAAGAAGCTGAAACATATCGTAACGAAGAATCATCCATATATATATATATACACACACACATACACACGCAGACACACGTATATATATATATATATATATGTATGTACAAGCGTACGTACCGGGTAGTCTTTGTCAATCGCTATATATATATATATATAAATGTGTGCATGTACTGGTAAGACAAAGTTGACTTTTTAACTGTTAGAACCCTTGAGAAAGGGTTAATAGTTTCTTCAAGAAAGGACAAAACCCTAGCGAGTCCCTCCATGTATCTTCTTTCATCTGACAACAAATCCAAAAGCTTCATATACAAATATCAGTTATATTTAAGGGACACGAACGAATTACGTACGGCTTTAATTGATTTGCATATACAGGAAAACAAAGACAACACACATATGTATGGATACATAATTGGTACGTAATCAAGATCGCTGACCTGGTTGATGAGGGGGAGAGAGAGGGAGGGAGGGTAAAAGAAGACAAGAAGAGAAATTAAAAAGTGGGGTTTGCCGTCAGACACAAAAATTGGTAGACATCAAGAGAAGCTTGCCTTGCCCATGTGTCTTATATACAATATATTTGGATTGCATATATATATATATATATATATATATACGGGACAATAGCAAAAAAAATGAATTTGGTGTATTTGACAAATAAATACACAAACATTCATTTTGGTAATAAAATACACCAACTTTTGTATCTTTAACGCAAATTTCCACGAATAGTAACGGCGTCAAAAAAATAACGGAACCATCAAAACGTCATATACAATTGCATATAAATAGTTTTATATAAATATCATATCATTTGTTTAATAAAATCATATCATTAATTATGTTTAGTGAATTTATTTTTAACCTTGTTTAGTGACTTTGTTTTTTGTTGTTCAAAACATAATATATGTTATTATTGAATTTATTATAAACCTTGTTTAATGATTTTCAAAACATAATATTTTGCATTTCAAGGGTTTCACTTTTCATGTATATTATGTTTTGAACATAAAAAACAAAATCATTAAACAATGTTAATAATAAATTTATTAAATATAATTAATGATGTTTACGCTAAAAATATAAAAGTTGGTGTATTTTATTACCAAAACAAAAATTTGTCTATTCATTAGCCAAATACACAAAGTTTATATTTTTTTTTGCTATTGCCCGTGTGTATATATATATATATGAAGAGAGACGCACATGTGCCTGTATATATGTGATTAGATGTAATAGCTTTTATATAGGGGATTTGTTAAAATTTACATTACATAAGTTCAAGATTACACTAAAGGCAAGTGATTAAGCGTTATATAAACCCAAAAATCCCAATCCATATTTTGTAAATATAATTATATTTAATTTAAATCAATATTTTATAATCCTATAAAAACCGACTATCATTTATTTACAAATTAGAGCTTCTAATTCACTTACTTACTATTGGTTTGTTACACTTACATGGGTTGCGTTCGAATAAGATTTGTTCATAACTTATAAGGATTATTTACATTATTGTAAATTCTAGTTTAGATATGTTTTTTTAAATGTTTTTTCCCATCATATATATATATCCACACACTTAATATATAATAATATAACTAGAGATACGTGTACTCATTGGAGGCCATAAATTTGTGAAATTGAGTACCGCATTTTAAGGAATAAAACTATAGAGTCGAATTGTCAGATTATGATAGTTAGGTGTCTGCTTTTGTAATTTGTATAACTAGCTGGAACCAAAAAAAAAAAAAGACAACGTGGCACGAAACGGCGTCGTCTTCTTCTCCCCGGCGTCGTCTACTTCATCGACCCAGAAATCTGGCTTCGTGTCCTCCATCGCTCCTATCGCGAGACACCACATCACAGATCTCTCTCTCTCTCTCTCTCTCTCTCTCTCTCTCTCTCTCGTTCAGAAGATGCGAGCTTTCTACATAATCGTCGTCTCTCTGCTTCTTTCCCCGATTTCCAGGGTTTGTTTGTTGATCTGAGTCTTGCTCTCGGAGAATTTCCCCCCGGAATTGCGTGCTTGAATTTGTAACTTGTGGATCTGATGAAAATTTTTGCTTGATTTGGTCGGTTTTGTGACAGGGGGAAGCCAGTGGTTCTGTTTTCTTCATCGATGGCCAGAACAATCAACATCTTCGTCAACAATCATCCAGTGATGTCCACGAGGTATAAATACGGGTTTTTTTGTCGAATTCTTTCAATCTCTGGTGTATAATTCCCCACTTGGCTCTTTCGACACGGGTCTTCTCTCTCTCGCTCTCTCGGGAATTGGTTCTCCTGTTTCAGTGTCGATTAGTTCAATCCAGCAGTTTGGGTTGGGACACGATGTCATGCGGAGAATTAACGAAAAGATCGAATTTTGGAGTCCGAGTAAACAATTGTGATCCCATCAAGCTAGCGATGTTTGAGAGCTTGAAACCGTGTTTCGTCTTGGATATACTATTGAAAAGCTACACAAGGAAATCCACCTTGGAATGCATATTTGTGTTTTCCTCAACATAAATCTATTGGTATTGCGTGCTTTTTGAGTTTGTCTCTCTCTCGCTGGGATATGGTCTTAGAACATGGTGTAATGTGAGTTCATGTTGCTAATCAACATTGATTGATGTTCATAACTTTATGATAGTTGCATTGCTTCCCAGGTTCTGAATTGATCGTCTTTTCACTTTTTAACGTTTCTTAGATGCAGCATTTCAGTTTATCATGTGTATGTCAGAAGTAATTTTAACATCAAACAGCTTAGTGTACTATTGAGTGGAATTAGAGGATGGTTTCTTTCCAAAATTTCAACAGTTTTCATGCATTGATTGTTATCTACCAGTTGAGAAATTGTTATTGGTGTTTCGGTTTAATGCCATGTTTGGTGGTTTGTAACCCTTTTCTAGCACTTTGTTTCTATGTAATGTGTCTGGACAATACTCGAATCACTGTGGTTTGCTTTACGATCTGCTCTTGCTTTGAATTTCAACAGGCACTTGTGATGTCCCCTGGTGAAATTTCGGCGGCTGTGTCAGTCTTGCTTGGTTTTTCACCTGCAGCAACTTTGAAAGCCGATGGCTCGTCCAAGGTTCTTTCAAGCGTTTTTCACAGAACTTTACGTTATATTCCCCTTTTCTCGTTGTGTGAAAGTTGTCGACTTTATCATCTGGTCATGCGTTCTGTTACAGTTGAACAGGATTCTTAGACCTAATCCATTTGAGAGGCCTCGCACTGTTTTTATGCTAGAAGTCATTGGAACTGATGGTTAGTGCTGCACGGTGTATATTAATTTGTCTATTTTCTTCTATATTGCAACTAAAGTTTTATTTTCTGGTACTTCCTTTTGTCCTTTGGACCAATAAACATTTTAGGGATTTATTCTTTTTCATGCAGATGCGCTTGTCGAGGCGTATTCTAGTCAATCTTTGTTGGGCAATGCCTTGAGGAGCAATGTTGTTTCTGATTCTTACAAAGCTGACATCGAATTCCCAGGTGTCCAGATCTCTCGAATAGTAGAATTGTCATCTAAAATGATTCATTCTCATTCCTTTTTCTCTCTCATATGGGACTCGAGTCATTAGGTTTTTTGTTCATTAAAATACTTTTCATTTCGAGAATTCTGCAGATGAAAGAGAAGCGGCTGTGGTGTCTTTGGATGAGCCCTCTTCTGGCATGACTGACAAAGACATCAGTGATCTTGTTAGTTAAACAATTCTTATAATTTTAAGTTAGGAAACTAAGTTTTCATCTAGCTTGCTAGTGAGTGAAGTCTAATTACATGGCCTGATTCTGCAATCTGTGTAGGCATCTTTGATAGGTGGATCATATTTTGCTGACAACAAGGAACCATTGACTGGGGTGCTGAGTTTCTCGCTGAGTAATGGTGACACTGTTCAGTTCCATTTGGCAAAGGTGATATCTTGGATTCTCCTTTCAACTGTATAACTTCATTAAGTTGTGATTACTTGTTTTATTGTAGCTTATGACGTTTTCCTCCTTGGACAGGAAGGGGAAAGAAGATTTGTAATGAATCTTTTAGTTTTATCCCAGAATGTTAGACAGGCAGTTAGCCTCCACGAGGATTTGGTTGCTGGTATTGAGAGACCTGCTGAATTTATGGTTGGCCGCTTAAGTGGCATCAGCGTAAGAATGTCTATTTTTCATTTGTTCTGTTTGTTTTCCTTATGTTTTGCCTGTCTTAGTCCCTGATTTATGAATTGGGGGGCATAGTTCAATGCCTGAAGAAATGGAAATGTCTTCTTCTTTATCAGTTTTTGAAGCACTTAGCTAGGCTAGAAACAGACAAGATTCAAAGGTATATAATGATAGCTTGCTGGGTCACTGGAAACTTTTGAGGTTGAATCAATTCTGATACTTCTGTTAAGTGTATATTTTTCCTCTTTAGTCTCTATAAGGGTTTCCAAAGTGGCGTCTACGACTCGGAGAATCCACCTCTTGTGCCAAAGTTTTAAACAGTTTATGTGATAAAGCATTTGTAGGCTTTATTGCCGTTGACATTGGTATTTGCTTCGAGAAAATCTTTCTCGTCCCGTTATTTTCAGTGTTTTACTTTTTTCTGATTTCAAGATGGATTTTTTTAATATTGTTGCTTTATATTTACCTTCTTTTATGTTGTCAAATCTTGTCGGTGTTTGATACCATGTTTTCTTTCTTCTGAAAACCATAGGATTTGAGAGAGGAGTCCGGAGAAGGTAAGGCTAAACAAGGGATGGAAGTCTTACTTGCTGCACTGTCAAAGCTATTCAACTTGTTGCAAACATCCCATCAAGGTGAAGTGTCTTTACCTTTCTCCGTAAATTCTGATCCTCTTAAGGTTTATCTTGGAATGCAGCGGCAAATGGTGGATCTCAGATTAACAACTCTGTTATGGAAATATCGGTACTAAGACTAAAGAATACTCTCTAGCAAGTTTTCTCTTACTTGAATCCTTGCAAAATTGTATCTGCCAGGCCAAATAGTTGGATTGATCGTGTTTGATGAGAGAGCAAATCAAGAATCAGAGAAGATGCTAAACGTTGTGTATAGTTCTCGTCCATCCCCACGGTGGTTGGCTGAGGAAGGAGGAGCTTTGAATTCAACACTTGTTGCCAAAGTTCTTCTCGTTAGACTTACACTTGCTTGGCTAACGGGAATTATCCTTCTCATCGCCACTCTCATCGGGGTAATAAGATCATATCTCCACTCGTTCTTATTCACAATTCCTTCGTATTTTTACACTAATGAGATTGTAAAATGGAGATAATGTTTATGAACATATAATCTTTTTGACATTCTTCTTCTTCTTCTTCTTCTTCTTCTTCTTGGCGGTTGTTGCAGATCTATTTCATGGTGAACATGCCTCTGACAAGAGACACTCTTCTGTATTCCAACGTAAAACTCGAATAGAAAAAAGAACTGCAGCTTCACGAAGATCAAATCCTCGATGAATCTCGATTTCTTTTACCTCGGGGGCGAGTTTTCTCGTGCAGTACACAGTCTTGTTTATGGTACTGTTCTTACATTTCGTGTAAGGCTTGTTTCTGAGGTCGTGTCCGCTGGATAGAAACCAGTCTCATTTGGGTGTTTTTATTTGGAGAAGGGTAAGTTTTGGTGGCCTGAACCGTGAATGTGGTGACCTCTTTATATGTGTTGTTTTTTTATATACAACTCTGCTTCCTGAGTAATAAAAGAACAACCTTGGATGTCTTTTTTTGGGTGCATGTAATAAAATCTCGTGTTGTTCTTTGAATTTTTTTTTTTTTGGGGGGAGTTGAACAGGATTCTTAGACCTAATCCATTTGAGAGGCCTCGCACTGTTTTTATGCTAGAAGTCATTGGAACTGATGGTTAGTGCTGCACGGTGTATATTAATTTGTCTATTTTCTTCTATATTGCAACTAAAGTTTTATTTTCTGGTACTTCCTTTTGTCCTTTGGACCAATAAACATTTTAGGGATTTATTCTTTTTCATGCAGATGCGCTTGTCGAGGCGTATTCTAGTCAATCTTTGTTGGGCAATGCCTTGAGGAGCAATGTTGTTTCTGATTCTTACAAAATTTATTAGCGTGGGTGATGGAATTTGGAGGTCCTAATTGCAATTTTCGGAAAATTAAGTGCGTTTTCGTAAATTATCAGAAGTAACAGGCCTATGTAAAAATATCTGGAATATTTTACTGCCTAAAGATAAAACGGCAAATATCTTCCCGCCATTAGTATGTAAAACATGTGGTAGTCCAAAGCCTTCACTCTCTGTCTCTCTCTCTCTCACATGGCGTCGTCTCTGCCAATTTCTTTCCAGCTTCCCGTTCGGCGGCAAGGAATCCGTATACTACCCCGCAAACACTCGTCTCCCTCTTTCTCTGTCTCTACCTCTATCGTTTGCCTCTCCGCTCAAAATCTCTCTGGAGATGATCGGGAGGAGGTCCGGTGGCTCCGGGAGGAGCAACGGTGGCTTCGGGAAGAGCAACGGTGGATGCGGGAGGAGCAGCGATGGCTCCGGGAGCGTGAATCTCTCCTCCGCGAGATTTCGGATCTCAAACTCCGGATCCAAACCCTAGAGTCTCGGAGCTCGCCGCAGGGGGCTTCGGTTTCGGAGGCGATCTCGAGCATCGGGGCTCTGCTTCAGGTTCTGAGTGAGAAGAATCGGATTGCGGAGAGTGGGTCGAGCGCGAAGCCGATGGTTTTGGAGGAGAAGACGAGAGAGCGTGAGGAGGTGGAGGAGGTAGAGAAGCGGGTGATTGCAGCTGAGGAGATCAGGGTTTCGGAGGGAGTGAAGGAGATAAGGACTTTGAGGGCGGGAAGTGAAGGGGAAGAGGTTCGAGAGATGCAGGTCTGCTAGCAAAAACCATTGTCTATATGTTTTAGAACAAAGGCGAGTAAACTGTCAATCTGGTTGGCATTAGTCCTGGTTCTGTCGTTGCTTGAACTTCGTGTAAGATCTAGCAAATTATAGAACCACATATAGCGAGTTCAAGGATTAAGCTTTGATTGTTCGAGACGGTTAGCTTGTTTTTGTTGAGCTAAAAAGACTCGAACTTGCAGAATTTTGGAGATCGGTTTCAATCAAGGCTGGTTTCGAGATTGTTCATTCGTTCTGATGACCCTTGCTAATTGTGTTTGACAGGAAGCTTTACTCAAATTAGGGTTCTATTCGGGTGAGGAGGACATGGAATATTCCAGTTTCTCAAGTGGAACAGAGAGAGCTGTCAAGACTTGGCAGGTGGGTTGTTGAAATTACCTCTTCTTGCTTTCCATGTGTAGATTCTTAGTTTGCTTGCTAAGAAATGCTGAAATGATATATGGTTTTTGCTTGAAAAGGCATCACTCGGAGTCCGTGAAGATGGGATAATGACCGTAGAGTTGCTTCAGAAGTTGTTTATGGATGAATTGATCGATAAAGCAGAGGAAACTACGACGCAGCCAGAGGTAAAACTGAAATTTTCCCTGCATATTTTAGCCATAGATCCTACTATCGTTACAATTGATAAAAACTAGTGGTTCAATGCTTGCCGTTCGCACTTCTCGAAGAATCACAGAGCCTGTAATCATAATACACTTGCCAAAACGGACGCGATAAAGCATGCTCTTGAACGAATTCTTTCTGCTAAGTGACTCATTCTCCTCCTTAGATAAAGGGAGCTGGTAATGGAACAGCAGTAACGTCAGTGACACAAGTCTCGGAGATGAAGCAGACGGTTACAAAAGACGAAGGTGTGGAAGAAGTGGAGGTGTCTCAGCATCGGGTTTTCCTTCTTGGAGAAAACCGGTGGGAAGAGCCCTCCAGACTCATCGGAAAGAGCAAACGGGACAATGAGAGGAAACCCGCCGATTCCAAACCGAAATGCCTTACTTGCAGAGGGGAGGGTCGGTTAATGTGTACAGGTAAATAATAACAAGACTAATGGGTTTAAGCATGTAATATCAGAAGGTTTGATTAAGATGAATCAAATCTGTATGGTTAAACTTTCAAATTTGTAAATACTTTTCATAGATCATGAAAGGATTCTCATCTTTTGATGCAGAGTGTGATGGAACTGGTGAGCCTAATGTGGAGCCTCAGGTGAGAGATTAGAAAAAGAAAACGTTACCTTGTACATGAAGGCATCAATGTCGTAATGTATGCAGAGATGAAATATATATTCAAACTTTTTTCTTGTGTTTTTTTTTTTAATTGGGTGGCAGTTTCTGGAGTGGGTCGACGAGGGAGCGAAATGTCCGTACTGCGAAGGTCGTGGATATACAATTTGCGACGTATGTGGAGGTCGAGCATCTGTATAGTATACGGTACGTATACACGTTACTGTATTAAGAGCTAAGTACAATTCCAAAAAATTACAGTCTCAGTTCTTGGAGAACGAAACTTAGCTTTCACTTTATAGTATTTCTCTCGTGTGATGCATTTAGACAAGAAATGTTCAGAGGGCAAATGATCCAAATAATTACACAAAATAAATATGTAAAAAAACCCCAAAAAACGCAAAGTAATGATCTTTTTTAAAATAAATTTATTGGGTATTGGTTTGTAAAACCAAAGACAAACTCAGTTTATGTAAACCATGGAAAAATGGAAAAGAGTGTTTTCAGATTTTGCTGATGGCAATTTTGGTGGAAGAGGAGGAGGAGGTTCATAGATTGGTCTGAGGTTTGGGGTTGAAGGGATGGCGTCTAGTCGCCGACCTCATCGTCACAAACTCTTCCGCCGCCGATGGGTGTATCCCGACCTGTCCAAACCCGACCCGCGTTATCTCAGTGATCAAATATCGAAATATCGAGGATCATATGAAACTCGGGGTTGAAAAAAGTTTATAAAAAAGAAGACTTACAGTGGAGTCGAATTGTGCTTTGGTTGCTCCGCACTTGAGCGCAATCGCAATACCCTGCATCCATTCATGGACGACCATACTAAGATACTGATTCATCCAATTTTTTAAACATCAACTTTCAAAAGTTGTGTTTTGAAAATATAAAAGTTTAGGCTATTCTCCAAAAAAAAAATGGTAAAACTATGGAAAACATGCCTGGATGATTTCAGGTGCATCAGGGCCACACATGGATGCTCCAAGAACCTTGTCCGTCTTCTCGTCGACTATTATCTTCATCAACGTCTTCTCCTGCCGCCTTTATCACCACCAGCAGAAGACGAGTTTCGTTATCGATCCGAAAAAAAAGGCAGTAAAAGCATAACGAGCTCAAGAATGGGGGGGGGGGGGGTCGGGAGAATTGGGTACCCAGAAATGGTGTTCTTCATGGGATTGAAGCTCGAGGTGAAAACCAGAACGTCGCCAGTTGCTTGCTCTACCGCCTCTTCTTCGCTCAGTCCGACCACAGACATCGGCGGAATGCTACCGACAAAAACCAGACCAAAGTTGGAAAGCACATACCAGAACTTGAAATAGAGACAGACAGTGTCTAAAACCAGTTCCCCTGTTCCAGAGGTTCTGTCTTCACAACAAAGCTCAAAAAACAACTGATGAAAGCCTACCCCACATTTATCCAAATCATTCCAAAAACAGATCAGCAGCCAAACTCGGGTTTATAATAAAACTCTCGCCTTTGAACTCACTCATAGTTACCGGACTGCCAGCATGTATGCATATATATATATATATATATAGCATCGATTAAAAACTACCAATACTGAGCGGATGGATTGGTTACTACGTTCCTAGGAAAGCGAGATTTCATCTAATAGGAAAGAAACGCTTACCAAAAGACGGCACAGGCTACATTGCTGTGGTCTGGTTTAGTAGGCTTGCCACCAAAAACAGTGTTCTGCACGGATCGAAAGCAATCTAACTTACCGAACAGAATAAATATTCAAACGGAGCGAAACAGGAAAAAAAATCAAAAGGCGGCGTACCGCAAAGCAAGTAGCCTCCATTAACGCGACCGGTGTGAGGTTAATTCGGTTTGTGGCATCTCCCACGGCCCATATACTCTGTATATTGGTGCGTGAGTACTCATCAACCTGCAAAAGAGTAGAAATTATTCGTAGAAAAAATGCATATGGAAACCTTTTCTTGAAGTGGAATAACTAAAACCGGCAAAAAAAAGAAGAGGAAAATATGTTACAACCTTAATAGCTCCAATGTGATCAAGTTCCACACCAACAGCTTGCAGATTCAATCTCTTTGTGTTCGGAATTCTCCCTGCAGCAGATTAAAAACAAAAAGATTTAGTCTTTACCTCGAAAAGAAGAAGAAAAATCACGGAACTTGGAGTCTTTGATTAATTACCCATTGTGTTTAATATCAAGCTTTCTAGCATATGCTATGAAGTAACATACAGTAACAAATACGCTGTCATCAACAAAAAGTTCAAGGGAGGAGACGGAAGAGATTTGAGTAAATTTCATGTTTCGGAGAAACCCAACAGGACTTTGACAATTCACTAAAGACCTTCAGAGAAAGAGAAGTTTACCGGTAGCAAAGAGTACAACATCTGCAACCAGTTCTTCCCCATGGTCTGATATGACCTTGATTCCATCCTCTGTTTTTATCAACTAGATTCATATATATCGTGTATCAGTAAATGGTGAAACCAGTAGGAGAAGTCAATATAGTAAGAAGAAAGAGTATTCTTCATCATATTCCAATACCTGAGTCAGACTTGTTCTCGGGTGTAAATTAATCCCCCTTCCTTCGAGATTTCTGGCAACAAGTGCCCTCATCTCGTCATCAAAACCCCTGTCAGATGATTATATTTTCGCGAAAAGGGTAAGAAACACAAAGAACAAACAGATGGGGATTGAACTGAGAAACCAAACATAATAAGATGAACTGTCACATAGCAGCAAAAGAGAGTGTTTGGTACCTTAGTGGAAGCTCCTTCCGGAAGAATAAGTCTACTGTACCACCCATTCCACGCCATATTGATGCGAATTCCACAGCAATGTACCTTTTTAACAAGCAAATAGGAATGTGGGATATTAAGAACAACTGAAACAATTGGCTTACCGAGTAAACCGAGAGGGGAAATGATGCAAATCAATCAAGAAAAAACAATATACCCTCCTCCAAGGACAACAGCCCGTTTCGGGAATTCTTCTAAGCTTAAAGCTTCATCAGAAGTTATAGCCAGTTCCTGCAAAAAGATGCAATCATGGAATTAAGCAGTAGCCTCCAAGACTGTCTTTTACTTTCCAGCAGAAAACCATCACCATAAGGTCAAGTAAAAATTGCTTAGCTTCTGTTACCACTTTTTTCTATTTTTCCTATTAACCATAAGGTCTTATGACATGAAAACAGGAAATAATAGTCATTTCAAGGACCAAAGCGCTCTCTTATCCCCTCTTCCATGCATTCAAATCAAAATTAAAGAGATTAAATTTTAAAACAAACTAAAGAGTTTCTTACATCTAAACTTAATAGTTTAGCCTCACCACTCTACAGCATTTAAATCATTCACTCTGAATGTAAATATCAACAGAAACAACACTAATGCAACTTTTGGTTACTCCATGGCTCATTTTTCACGAAGAAACAGATTCCATATATATATATATACACACACACACAAAAGCACATCATGATCATTGCTAATTAAGGGTATAGAACACACAAACTTACATGTCCAGGAATAGAAGGCTTTTGTGCCCGACTGCCAGTTGCAATCAGTATGTGCTTGGCGGTGTAGCTTATTTTAGTACCATCTATTTGTCTCACCTCCACTTCATTTGGACCGACCAATCTTCCCTCCCCTTCATACAGTTTCACCCCAGCATTTGCCAATAACCGCTTGTAAATATTATTCAACCTTAGTATCTCATCAGTCTGCATATAAAGAAAAAAAAATCTGTTTAACCCAATGGTTCTGCTCATCTTTGTTGCAAACTGTGTTTCAGTTTCCCATCGAGGATTTCATCCGAAATCACGAAAAGGATCAACAGATAAGAAGTTGATAGCAGATGGTATGCACCTTCTTCTGTAAAAGCTTTTTCCAATTGTAGTCGACATTCTCATTTATTTCCCATCCAAAATTCCTGGCATCCTGCAGGCAGAAAGCATCATAAAAGACAGAAACAAAACACAAATTTTCTTCCCACACAAATGCCTAACACAGAATGGGAACAACTAACAAAGCGATGAATCTGTTTTCAACAAATTAATTTATTTAAACGACTATGACGATAAATTTGGTAGTGCAAGTAAAACACACACGAGATGCCCCATAGATCATATGATAATTGATACAAAAAGAACACAGCCTCACCTCGATATCACCACCGTAAGATGCCCCATAGACCAAAATCTTCTTGGGAACACATCCACGGATAACACAGCTGGAAATACCACACAAAAGGAAGAAAATTAGTACAGGATTAAACATTTGTTACAAATTTGAAGGACATGTTCAACCAAAAAAAAATTTGAAGGACATGCAATTTGATATTTGATAACACTGCAACCCTTTTGACCTCTCTGTAGACTCCATAGACAACAACAAGAGACGAAGTGGGGGAAAAATACATTTACCATACTGAGGAGAACATTTTTTATACACAGCTGAATATATACATCAAAATGACTATTTCTATTACGCTTCAAAACCCGAATTTTTGTAGTTTCAACTTCCACAGAAACATAGGACTTACAGATCTAGAGGGTTAATCACACCACTATTGTCATACATAATCTAGTTTCGAGAACTAAGACAGGAAAATTCAGTAACAAAGATTAAAAAAAACAAATAAAGAAAGCATATAGGAGAGGAAGAAACTTACGTTCCACCAACTCCTCCAATATCTTCGGAGCTGATAGGGTGAAATGGAAGCTCACAAACAGCGACCTGTAAAATTACATTAGAAAATGATGGTTTTGGTGAATAATTAACCACAAGATATATGCAAAACTAAAGAAATGATCAAAGAAAGGCGCATCAAATCAACCTAAACCAGACAAGAGAGATCTACAGGGAAAAAGCAATTTGATTGGTGAGACAAGGGTTCATCAGATCAGGAACAAAGACTGAAGCAAATATATAAAGGCTCCCCCCCAAACAAGGAGGAAAAAAGTTTTCACCTTTGCTCCATGGTTAGCCGAAAATCTAGCCGCACGAACACCGCCACTTCCGGCACCGATGACGAACAAATCAAAATCGTAGTGGGTGGTCTCGTCACCGATTTCTCCATCAACAAGCATCTTCCTCGACATGGTTTCTGAACCAAACTGAAGACTAACCCTAAAACGAAGACACAACAACGTCACAGACACAGAGACAAAACCACAAAAAGAACTTTTACACAGAACACGAAATCGCCATGTCTCCGAGTCTTAAAACCCAAATAAACACATGGAGCAAACGATGAGAATCAAAGACATCGAAGAAACTAGCATTCATCGATCGTGAAAAACGTCGATGGGTTGCTTCGTTTTCTTCCAAAAAGATCCAAGTTTTGATGAGATAATACCTGAAAGCTGATGGGTGTAGCAGAGCAAGAGACAGTGACCCAACGAAGATGAAGAGATCCGAAGCGAAGAAAAATATATGGAGACGATGAACAAATGGTCTGATGGGACTGATTCCTTCTTTCAGAGTTCAGACCAAGATCTGCCAACCTGCCCCAATGAATGGCCCAAGAACGAAAAAAAAGAAACACGAGAACTGATGCGGCTTTCCAAAAGGCCAAAACTTTACAATCTACAGGTGAAAAAAATGCTGCTTTTATCTTTTGTTCGTGTAGGTAATTACGAATTCTAGAACTGATGTCTGCGTTTATGTTTGTTTCTTATTCTGTAATTTTTTTTTCCTTTGTTTAGATTTTTCTTTCTTTGGTCAATATACATACACACAAAAGCAATTTATAGGGAGTCTAAATATAGATTATAATGTTGTTTTCCAATCGTGTGTGTGTATATATATATATATATAAATGTATAATAATGGGAGTTTTAGAATATAAATTCTAAGAACGCCAATATTGAACCGTGGCTTTTGAATTCAGACAGCGTAGAAGAATGGGAGTTTTGTCCGGAGGAACATATGATCGTACGGATAAACATAGAAGACTTCAAAGCTTCCACTTGGTTCATGGAATCTTAATCAAAGTCACATTACAATTAATAAAAAGAAAACGAGAGTTTGTAAATTGAAACTGAAAACGGGAACTTCTTTAGATTACAAATTAAGATCTTCCCGGAAAATGAAACTGAAACTCTGACAACACCCGAAGTACTCCACCATTCTTGGAGCACTACTCTTTAATCCACACAGATCTTCCCCCACCTCTGTGTATATATATATAGCTTGATATGTAACCATCATCATTTCTACCATCCCTTTTCCAGTTTCCTCAAATTCCGACTCATCAACGAGATGAATAACAATAAAGAAAAATAACTCGTACTCATCAGCAGGTGCAGCGTAAGGCAGAGTTGCTGAAACACTTGGCCTTGTTAGTGATGACTTTGACGTTGTGAGAGAATTGACGGCTTCTCGGAGATAAGTGAACTCGATCCATCATGTTGATCTTAGGCGCCTCGAGGATGGCCTTCGGCAACGACAACGCCCACTGCATTCCCCATATCGACAATGGCCTCATGTATATCAACGACCTGTAATGCCCGTCTATCGTCCACGCCTCCGGTGACTGAAACCAGTACCTAGAAACAACATACCACCCACCAGTCCCAAATCAGTACACTAACCACAACCTCTTCAAAACTAGCCATAGTTTTTATCTCAAAATCGGATAAAAACTACTGTCTCAGAATCTTTTTTGATTAAAGAAAGCTTCTGATTTCTTATTTTCAAGTAAGAAACACCTTATTCTAACCATTTACAAGTCAAAACTAGCCATAGTTTTTATATCAAAATCGGCTAAAACTACTGTTTTAGAATCTTTTTTGGTTCAAGAAAGCTTATCATTTAAGAAACACCTTATTCTAACCATTTACCTGTAAATTAGCCACTTGGAACTTTTTCAGACACTCTTTTAATATGGAACGAGTCTCAGTGTGCAATTGTTGAGATTCAGCATCATGACCATCATTGATTTCGGTGTTACTACAAATGTTGTACCATCCATGATATGCATGCCATAGTTCTTTCCTTCTAATTATCTCTCTATTCTCTAATCCATTTAAACTGCAGACCCTTCCTTTTATATCTGTGCGTGTGTGTGATGGAACATATTTCAGACATTGAGGTTTGTAAACTGAAACTTACCCGAAACCTTCTTCTGACCAGCCGGCAGTGAAGATCCCCTCGGCGGTGGTGAAACCCTGTTCCTCCATTCCCGAGAGGATCATTGTTGCAGCGGCTGCATAAGTGACACCAGTCCATATCTCACGCGACTGCATGCATGTCTCGTCCACTTTCCCGTCGGGATGCATCCCGTTCACCGCCCCCATCCTGCCTCCTTTTATCTTCATCACGTTAAAATCGAAGATCTTCTGCAATGCGCTTTTGATCTTGAAATCCTCAAAGAGTGGAGGCAATCCTGAAGAAGCAGTGTACCATTGGCCAGCCATCTGATCTGTTTGTATTGATTTGCTGTTGCTACTTGACCCGCTGTCGTAATTGAAGTACGATCCATTCCACAGTTTAGCTTCCAACGCCGCCCTTGCGTTCAAGAACTTGTTCTTACACAACTCCGCAAAGAATTTGTCACCGAGTTGAAGAGCCATTGCTGCTGCAGCTTGAAGAGCAGCAAGCCATAGGCAACCACAGTAAGCACTCACTCCATGAACAGTCCAGGTATCGTATGTTTGATCCGGGAAACCGTCGTTCTCGATGAGATCGTCGTTGTCTCTGTCAAACTGTTCCATATACTCCATAGCAGCACGGACAGCGGGCCAAACTTCTATCCCGAATTGGTAATCCCCTGTTGCTGCAAAATCTCTATAAACTTGAAGCACGAATTTCGGGTTGAGATCTTTCCACTTGCTCGTGTCGTGTATGTTATAAGCATTCATTTCGTTCCACGGGTCGTGCATCCCAAGATCATGAGGAACGGCCCCTCTGACCTTGCGGATCCCCCAGTTTCCCTCTGCCAAGAACTTCACTTTCCTTCCATCCTCAGACAATACAGCTTTAGCGAAATCTCGTTGGATGTTCAGTTCAATCTTCGGGAATAGCATAAGGAGCGCATACGATGCATAGAAATGCACATCATAAGTGCACCACATCACATATTCCACACCTTCCAAGTATAGAAACCGACCAACATCTTCTTCATCATCATCTTCACGCCATATGTCAACAAATAAATCATGCCTTTTGTGAATATCATCGTTGTTTTTCAATCCATTTCTGTTGCCATTATCAAGATTACAAGTCTGCTCGTCTTTCATGTCATGTCCAGGATCTGCATTTCCTAAAGTTGATTGTTGTAGCTGACCATTCCCGTCGGTAGAGAGTGAAGAAGAATCTGCAACAGAAGATGTCAAGAGAGTTATAACATATTCTCGAGGTAATGAACAATGAAGTAACATCCGATTTGAAAAAGTCAATTTAAATATGTGAAAGACTCGATCCTATAATCAAAGTTGTCGTGAAGAAGCGTAGTAGTAGATGTGCACCTATCCAAACTGTTCCACCGGCTGCTAAGAAGTAAAGCTCGTTGAAAAGGGTAAACTTATACCTATAAGGGAAGAATTCAAAGGAACAGTTAAGAGATAGAAGGGATTAAATTTTAATCTATTAAGAAAACAGACAAATATATGCACAGAAAATACCAAAGCTGCATCAAACCAAAATACAGTTCTTTGAGTAAATGTAGATTAGATCAATGATCAATTACCATTCCGGGAGCCTTCCATCTCTGAGAATAGGATTTTGCCATGCCTCAATATCTTCCTCCCACCTCTTGTAGTCTGTTCATGAAAATCAACAGTAGAAAAAAAGTTTCTGTGAATTGTTTGAGTTGAAAACTACTTCCTAGCAGCAGATTATGCATACGTACGTGTCAGTGCATCATGAACCAGGTCCTGAGCTGCTCTCGGAGAAGTCCCATAGAACTTGGTGTATCTCCTGCACGCAGAGGGTATATATTAGAAAAAGACCAAGAACTCAGAAAATCATCTCTGTATTGCATACTGCAATTGTTATACTGATCAGTTATTTATCTACTTTCAGTAAGTATGTATGTATATACACTTCTGATTCAACGGTGAGTTAAAATCATTGAAAACTGATGCAAGGCCAAGGAAAGAAAAATCTCATGCCTTTAAATTTGTTGTACTATGCTGAACTAGAAACCTATTGTTTGTTTCCCATGAACAACATATACAGTAATTACCAAAGATTTGATAACCAGTAACTTGTTCAGAACTTGTTTCAAGTCACAACTTCAGTCTCCGCGCGTTAGAAAACAAAAAAAAACGTAGAAATGGGCATACTTAAGTTTATGAATGAATTATGAAGCAACTGATAGATGAAATTATGAGGTACAAAGAACATTGAAGCAACAGAAGTTAAAAGCAGCCAAGAATGCTCAGCATCAGTTACAAATTCATCTCAACATTGACAAAAAGAAAAATAAATGGAAGATAAATGTATCTTACCTGTGGTATGAGCTTCCCTTTGAAAATTTCACTTTGGGTGATGACCATGAAAGAGCGAAAGTAACAGTACACCTGCCATGAGCCTCTACCCATGCTGAAGCTGAGACAGCTGCACAAATTGTATCTCCAGCTACAGAAGGCATGCTTGGCCCGCGATTGAAGTTCTCTTGATCAAATTGCCCATCCTTCAGTTAGAGTACCTCAATGTCACTCTCATATCATAAGAATCTCTTATATTTCAAGGAATTCAGAACACGAATTAACTAATGCCATGCAGTCAATATCGGGTTGATGATTCATCAAATGAAAGGGCCTTGTGGGAAGTGAAAGGAGGCAAAATCACCTTTGCCATTGTATCCCACATATCTTTTGCTGTAAAAGAACTATCCTCTGACAACCCAAAGCATGGAAGGACAGTTACATTGACATTCTGAGTTTCACAAGCAGCAATTGCAAAAGTAACAGGAGGGTTTCCCTTGGCGGTCCTGCAAAGTCATCACACGTTCATAACACATACTCGATTAACATAGACATCTAAACTATAATACTTTGAGAATACCAAATTCTTGGTCGTGACATCAGTGAAACAATTTAATATTCGAGCCAATCAAATGAAGTCAAACAAAAAAAAAACTTCCAGAATACAACATCTGAAGCATTATGGGTAACTTAGAAACAGGATTCGCTTGGTGAGAGGAAAAAGGAAAGAGATTCACTTGAAGATGTTTCATTCATGCAGAGAGTGTAACAAGATACAATGCATTCCACACTTGACAGATACACAAAGCAGAGACAAACATGTATGGGGACCAAGGCATGCATATAAATCTCATGCTGGAAGCAGAGCACAATGGATTAATCAAAATTTTCAGATTAGGACTTGCTACTAAAAAAAGGAACTCTTCTATAACTCTAGTTTCTAGCATACACTGGATGATACTATCGGGTATCTAAATTATAGAGATGTAAACATGCAGACAAGCATTGTGCTCAGAAAAGATAATGCAACAAGATCATACAAAATAAAGATTCTGAGAGCAGTAGATACAGCATTAAGACTTGGAAGATCCTCACCCACAACAGAAATGAGCATTTTGGTGAACTTATAACACGTAAAAATGCTCCATAAATTCCTGGAAACTCTATTCAAACCACTAGTTTTGTGCACTTATGTTTGACTAGTAGTGTATGCTTAGATCACAACTGTCTCTAATGACGAGTTGTCACCATAGTTGATAACCTTTCCTTAGTTCACTAGATTGTTTTCGAACATTTTAACAGCACTTAGTGGTCCATTCTTTTCTTTTAGTAGATAGTACCTCTGGTACCCCCACATCCTAACTATCTTTTATTTAACCAACAAAAGACAACGACAGAGAGTTGAACACACTCTCCAAACATTAAACAAACAAAGAGAACTATGCAAACCAACCGCAATTTATAGCTATTAGGGTAAAATGACTTGCTTGTGATGTAAGAGAACACCGGAGACCCCATCTTCGCCTCTGAAAGAAAGAAAATAAGCAAATGAAAAATCACATTCCAAGTAGAAGCCATGATGACAGAAAAAATAAATCGCACATATTCCTCCTTACATGAATGGTTCATTCACATGATCCCCTGACAAATGTGAATTCCCACCAATTGAATTCTGCACAACAAATACAAAACTGGTAAACATATCTTTCTTCTGCTTTACTAGGTATTATGTAATAGAACTGAGAATGTCAACTCACCGCCCATGTAAAAAGAAGGCTGACTTTTGCCCTTTCCTTGCCAGTATTCACCAGCTACAACAAAACCAGTAATTAATAAGGATTTTCAACACATCTGCTAAAAGATTTGTTATATTTTAGAAATGGAGCCTTTCGTGCTATAAAGATACAAGGATATTCAGAGAATCCTATTCACTTCAGATAATCAGAGAAACCTATTCATTTCAGATAATCACCAAGCCTCACTGATACAATCAAACCATACACATTTTTACCTCTGAGGTCTGAGCTACAAGCACAAGCTCATGGCACGTGCAATTACATTAGTGCTGTCAGAAACCACCTAATCTAAAGAAAAGGTATCAAAGAGGATCTATACGGGTAGAAGGCGCAAATTTTAGACATTCTGAAGATTAGTTACCAAAATCCACACCATTCATATTCAACAGTCTTTCAGTTCAAAGATGCTTCCACAAAGACAAAAACTATTGGCGGGGGAAGGCATTAACACCATATGCACTAGATGAGCGATTTACTTACTGTATATACAAACACAGCTGCAGGAAGACTGCTATCCCTGTAATTGTTTGGTATAAAGGGTGATATTTGCCGGCATGACACCTTTAATTCTGGGTCAGGCTCACCTAAACACAGGACCAATTTTACAATTTAGACATCTACAAGACACATGCTAGCCTTTATAGACAAAATTAAGAAGCTAGGTACCATCATATATAGTCCAGGCCCGTGGAAATAGAGCGTGATAGGTTGAATGCTGACCACGCAAATTCCATCCCCAAGATGAAATACCCTTATCACAAGATTTTCTGACATGATGTAAAAGTACCATAATATATGAAACCCCAATTTTTCACATCTTAGAAGCAACAGAATATATTCATAATACACACTTACCCTAGACCTTCATGCTGTCCTGGAGCCAAAACTGATGCATACTTTTTGTGCCCACCATCTCGTGATATAAAAATCTAAAAGAATCAGCCAGGGAAATGAGATAAGAAACAGAACTGAAAGAGTAGTTTCATGTTTAAAAGGTTATATCAGTATGCACAGCTTATTTCCAATTGGATAAGGCTTTCCTTTCCGAATATTAACAAAAAAGGAAGTGAATCTTGTTGTCAACTGAATGGGAAAACGACAATTTAAACGTTTTCAAACATATCATCTAGGTAGCTCCCATCGTTATGCCAACTCTACCAATCTAATTCGCCTATCCATGATTCAATAGAATTTAATAATGTTAAGGGAGATACCAGAACAAAACAATCATGCACTTTCATGCTCATGAAAATAAAATTGGAGAAACACCATCATCACATGGGCATGCTTGAACACAATATTCATGAGTGTCAAGAAAAGATTATGAAAGCGGTAACAGATTACCAAATGAGAAAATTGTACCAGCACTTCAAATACAGTAATGAAGAACTGAAGGATGAAAATTCATTCTCAGCAGAGATGTGGAGAGCTGACTAATTTAGTGAGGTAACAAAACAACTGATAGAAAAACTGCAAAGCCTCGCTAAACACATCGAAGAGTAAGATCAACAAAAGTAACAATGCCCACTACTGAGTTCACTCTTCAGAAACAAGTGAACTAAGTCTATAGGAAATACTTACAGAGAACTGATTAGCCATTATTGGTGAAGGATCGCAAGTTCCAGGAACAATTTGCCACTGCTTAAATTCACCTCTGAAGCCTCTAGATATGCTTCCACTTCTGTGATCGTAATACCAGTAGCATTTGACAAATCTCAGCTATCTATTTATAGCAAATAAAATCAAATCTCAGAAGCTATCAGCAATTTACCCCATCCCACCAAGCGGAACACCCTGAGATGCTGACGGTTTGCAGCTCTCTTTAGTGAAAGGATCAATTGGTGCTTTCTGTAGCAATCACAAGCCAAATATGCCAAATATTTATATCCAAGGAAACAGAATTTCATCCATTGATGTTATACCATATTTCAACACCAAAACACAATTCCATAGAACATTTTCACATTTACTCAAAAACAATCCAAGTGCAAAGATATGTTATAATTTTGTATATCAGAAGAACCATAGTTCCAGGAGATACCCTTCCATGAGAGGCCTCTTCTCTAACATAAGACCACAAGCGTATCCCCAAGCGCACCTGTAACTCGAACACCGAACCAAAAGCAAATAAATCACATCTGAAGGCCAAGTCCGGAAGCACATACAAGCATCCATCCTTGAATTGAACCATATAGTAAGGAAAAAATCTCGCTTTACCATCTTAATGGCTTCTCTAAACGTAATACTGAATTCTTTCAGGATATTGGCATGGCTGTTCAATCTCCTCCTCCATGCGTGGGCCGGGGGAGCAGCACTATCAAAATCGAGCTGCATACGAACAAAAAGATACAATTTTTCAATCACTCAAGTTCTCAAATCGAGGGAAAACAACATTTTCTCGGTATCCAAACACTAACAGGCACTTAAAATTCACTCACCAGCTGCAAAGTATTCCT